ATGGCAACCCACTCTAGTATTCTTGCTTAGAGAATTCCATGGACAGAGAAGTTGAAGTCCATGGGGTTGCAAAGAGTCGGACATGACTGAATGACTAACACTTTATGTCTATCCTGCATGTTTTTTTCCCTTTATTTCATTGTTTGATCATTACTCTGCTTGCATTTAAATATTCTATTCTTGTTAAGTGGATATGAGTCATTTAACTCTGTGGAGATCTTGAATATATTTTTTATGGTTCTTTTCTAATTGTTCTATTAATTATATTTTTCTGCAAGTTATTGTATTAGTTGACTTTCTTGAGTTAATTTAATGGGGTTTCCTGGTATCTCAGCTGATGAAGAATCCGCCTGCAATGCAGGAGTCCCCAGTTTGATTCCTGGGTTGGGAATATCCCCTGGAGAAGGGATAGCTACCCACTTCGGTATTCATGGGCCTCCTTGGTGGTTCAGATGGTAAAGAATCCACCTGCAAAGCGGGACACCTGGGTTTGATCCCTGGTTTGGGGAGATCCCCTGGAGGAGGGCATGGCAACCCACTCTAGTATTCTTGCCTTAAGAATCCCCATGGACACAGGGGCCTGGCAGGCTACAGTCCATAGGGTTGCAATGAGTTGGACACAACTGAGCAGCTAAGCACACAAACAGGTTCATTTGTTAACATCACTTACATGTGTTCTGATTCCTGGCTGTGAGATCGTGTTTTAGAGTACTCTTCTGCGTGTCTCAATCTGGGATCAGTCTTGCCTAGGAGAGCTGCTTGTCTATTTCTTTCTCTTGGTGTGCCTTCACACCCCTGGCCAAAGAGAAATTTTTCTCATATTGAATGTAGTTCTATGTTCAGTAATCTATATTTTGTATCATTAAAATATAATTTCTCTAGGTCTCATATGGAGGGGAAATAATTTCTGTTATCTTGAAGAGTCTAAATTCTGTGACATATAATACCTAGACAATTATAATATTGTTTAACTTAACAAATCAATGTATTAGCAGTTTTATCTCATAAACTACTTTAGGAACAAAAAAAGACCATAACTCTTTTTAAGGGGTCCAAACTCTTACACCAAATATAGATATTAATATAGTGACTTGCTGTTATATAAGAAAACATATATGGATAAGAAATCTGCTGAAATGGAAAGTAGTAACTATATGACAGCAGTGAACTTATGGATGACTTTTCCTTTTTTGACATTCCAGAATTTCTTTATTTTTTTTAAAGAGTATGTAATTTTTGAGTATGTATTCTAAATAAATTTTAAAACCATACAACTTGTATAGAATCCCATTAAAGTACCTGATTGTCTATGAATAAAGTTAAAACTTCTCAACTAAATATTCCCAAAGATCTTCACATATCTGTTTCCAAATTGCTCCTCTTATTATCCTCCTGTTTTTTTATGCCTCATCTAGTCCAGTCTCATACTGTATCCTTGAGAGAGATACTACCAACTTCTATGTTTTAGAAATTGAAACACATTTTTGCAGGGTTGTTTTCCTAGGTACAGGAATTTGGTTCTTTTGGTCCATTGTCTTGCTGAGTTTCCTTGGGATCCTGGCTGCCTACACAGCATTGCTACTGGTGAGTAACGTTTCCCTTTTCTCCCACTCCCTTCCTGAGTAGCCTCATGAAGTGCTCTGTTAGTAGTATGGTTCTCAATTGGTGCTGGGAGCCCTCAGATCACTCCTGGCAGAGTTCAGATTTGCATCAGCTACTTGAATATTAGGGAGGAAGGATAGATGTGGGGAATAGACTTGTGCTGGTAGAGGGTGTGTCTCTCCACTTTGACCCTTTGTAAGGGTGGCAGAACACTCTTTTTCTCTTCCTTTGTTTCATGGCTTATTTTCTGGCTCACATAGTATTGTCATTTTAGATGTTCACACCTTCACATGGTAGTACTTCTGCACATTGATCTACTGATTTCATAGCCTGTCTCCCAAGAAGCAGTCTTTCTGTGGCTTACAAATTATCTAATATGCTGAACCTGTTTACTAGTCCTGTGCAAAAGCTAGCCCCCTGGTCAGGTGCCAAGTACATTTTAGCAAATATCTTTATGCAATAGAGACGCTACCCGTTTCCAGACATAGTAGTGTCATGTAGTGTGAGAAATTCACACTGGACATAGTAATGTCACGTAGTATGAAAAAATTGAGACCAGACAGCAGAAGAGCCTGCAGAAGTGTGGAAAACTTATGGAAGACTAACTTTTAGGCTACTGGAGTTTTTCAGTGCCCACTTGAAAATAGGACATAAGTATCTTGCTCTGATTCCATGATTCCTTGTCCCCACTGACTGACTGTTACTAAAGAACCCAAGCCCCAAATCAGTTGCCATTTGCATAAATATTTATCTCAGCAAAATGTATTAATCATTATATGAGTGATAAGTCTGAGATTACAGAGAACAAAGAGGTGCAGTTTTTGTTTTCATACAGGGCACCTCAAATAGAGAGGTATCAGAAAGTTATAATACTCCTTAATTCAATGAGTTTAGAATCTAGTAGGGAAGTACGTCATAGACAAAAATAACCAACACAGACAGAGCATTATAATTGTCATTAGAGAGACCTAAAAAAAGTTCTGCCTGGGTTCTGAGAAGGAAGACCTTCAGTCAAGAGGATTAAGTGATGCTTCGAGGAAGACGGGGCACAGGAGGGGCATCTTGAAAGGATGTTGGATTTAGACGTGTCTATGGGAGGGGGGAAGAAAGTCCAGATCATGGGCATTTCACGACAGAGTCAGCAAGACAGAGATAGAGATATATGGGGTTTGACTAGATAAGAGGGAAGAATCGTACTGTTAGCATGCAGGGGATATTAAAGAAAAATGAGGTATATGGCTAAAACAATAGGCTTGTGATAGATTTTAGAAAGCCTGAAAAGTATGCTAAGACACATGGTATAAATCAGATTTCTAGTTAGTATTATCATTCTGAAAGTCATTGCATAGAGGGTGTCTGTAGACAGAAATAGTTAGAAACTTTTATGAGGAAAATGCAGATGAATGATGCGTTTGGGGCAAGAATCTGGTCACTGAATTGTACTGCACTTATACATGATCAAAATAAAATGGTTTAGGTAACTTCTAAGACGGACTTCCAGTGTCCAGTAAGCCATGCTTTTTTTTTTTTTTAAACAGCCTTGTACTCTAGGCTTCCTCTTTTTGGCTACAGTGGCAACAACGGAGGAGACCTGAATTCTATTTCTGCTTTATCTTTAAACTATTTTGTAACCATGACTGAGTCATATAACTCTCCTGAGCCTCAGTTTCTTCTTTCAAATGAGAATTATTTATTTCAAATGATATAGTTAATAAAATGACATTTTATAAGGCTTGGCTAAGTACAAATAAATGGCCTGGTGGCTCAATTGGTGAAGAATCTGCCTGCAATGCAGGAGACCCAGATTTGAGCCCTGGGTTGGAAACATCTGCTAGAGAAAGAAATAGCAAACCCACTCCAGTGTTCCTGCATGGAATAGACAGAGAAGCCTGATGGGCTACAGTCCATGAGGTCATAAGAATCAGGCATGACTTAGTGACTAAACCACCACCACCAAAGTACAAATAAAATCATATCCATAAAATTATTTTGAAAAAAAGGTGAATGCTTTATACAGTCAAATTCTCAATATCCTAAGCATCTGAAGGCTCCAGTTTTTAGTCTACATCTCCACACTGACTTGATGATTACTTAGATTCAAATCTAATCTAGGTTTATTGACTAACAACAGTGCTTAACAGTTGGAACAAAAAAGTTTTAAAAAATTATTTATTTGGCTGCCTTTGGGTCTTAGTTGCATCATTCAGGATCTTTCATGGAGGTGCACGAACTCTCTAGTTGTAGTGTGTGGGCTAAGTTGCTTCTCTGTGTGTGGGATCTTAGTTCCCCTACCAGGGATCAAACACCTGCATAACAAGACTGGACGACCAAGGAAGTCCCAAAAAAGAGATTTTAAATGACCCTGGGAAGGACCCCTACCTCTGTTCCCTCACTAGTGTCTCTATGTAATACCAAGGATAAGCTCCATCCCAGGGAAAAGAAAATTGTAGGAACTCAGGAAGGACATCAGTGTACTGATTGTTACAGAATCCCAGAGAAGATAATAATAAATTCTCTCTGGGTTGCTGGTGAAAGTGACAACTAGGAGCTGACATGTGAACTGTGTTTGAAGGGTCAGTAGCTTGGTGAGGGAGAGCTATTTAGGCAGAGGGACAGTGTGGCAATCTCTTAGATGCCGAAAAGAGCAGGTGCAGCAAGAAGTGAAGATGATGCCAGACTGTGTAAGGAATTTTGAGTTCAGAACAGTGTTTTGGGTAGCATCTTGGTGATTTCAAAATAATCTCTTCTTTCTTTGTTTTTTCAGGTACTTGGATTTTTGTTGTGTTGGGAAAAAAATCAACTGTACCTGCACTGGTATCATAAGGTAAGACATCTGAATCTTCATAGGAGACCTGATCAGGACTGCGTGTGCCTCTTTGGCACTAAGTGTTAAATGCAGAAAGGGAAAAGCTCTGCATTTAACACTTCCCCTTTCTTTGCCTCCCTTAGAGAGGAGAAATCTGGGTACAGTTTCAACTAAAATCATTCCGTTTGCAACAGATGGAACTGGCTTACCAACCAAGCTGAACCCAAACTATTTTTTCCCACTTCTCCATTTTAAACTCACTCTGTGACTCTGTTCTTCCTATCCCCATAAAATCTTGGGCAAGCTCCATTATTTTCCCGGTCCTTTACAGTCACAAGAACGTTCTTATTTCAGTCATTAAGAATTTCAGTTCATTGTAGTAGACTGAACTCCAACTTTATGAGACTTTTCCCTTCCTCTGTTTCACATGACCCAGGCCTGGAAACCTGCAGTGATGGAAAGAGTATGATTGTCTTTTACCTTTATTCCAGTGTATCGATCAGGGGAAGGAGAGATAGGGTAAAAGAACACAGTCCCACAAGGAGGGGTTGGTTTCATCAGGACCATGTAGATGCAGTTTTTGGCTCTTAATCCTGTGGATTTTACCTTGTGTATTTTCAAACACCTTACCACTGAGAACCTTGACTGCAGCTCTCTTGGTACACTTAATACATGTCTTCCTATACTCCCTGAAGTTTTTTTGTTGAGGTCCTTTAACTGTCCCTTAGTTTGGAACCATTTAAAATTACACTAGAAGGGAAGTGGGTGGAATGAGTGGGGAGCTTGGGATTGACATATGTACACTATTAATAGCTATGTATAAGACAGATGACTAATGAGAACCTACTGTATAGCACAGGGAACTCTAATTAGTGCTCTCTTGTCACCTAAATGGGAAAGAAATCCAAAACGGAGGGGACATATGTCTACATACAGCTGATTAATTAGCTATAGAGAATAAACTAACAGCATTGTGAAGCAACTATATTCTGATAAAACTTTTTAAAAATAACTAAATTAAAAAATAAAATTATACTAGCAGTAACAGAGGATCCATATCTGATATGAAGAAGCAGGCATCACCTGAAGACATGCAGCTCATTTCCAACATTGCCTGCCTTGTCTGGTTCTGCCATGGGCTTAAGAATCTCCAGCACAGCCTCTTGCTATTTATAGACTTTTTCAGGCATGGTTTTGATAACATTCTTTGTGTTTTCTCCAATCAAGGAACATGTCAAACTCTGAGTGGTCTCCTTAAATTTCCTTTTACTCAAAAGGGAAGTATGAACTGAAAATATAAACTTAAGAGTTAGAATGAATGGAGGTTAAAGTCATAGGATCATACAGGGAAACAAGAAATTGAAGACTGAGCATATAGGCCTTACTGAGATTCCCACAGGTTTTGGAGTTGGGACACCATGAGCAGTTTGTCACTACTGAGAGTCCCTATGGGGTAAACCATTCTGATTACCATTCCAGGCTTGTGCCTTTTACAGAAACCATGCTTACGTTGCCCCTGGCAGTGAGTGCCGCCACTTGGCCTCTGCCACAGCAGAATCTCATCACTGCCTTTGAACTCAGGAAGCCAGTTTCTGTGGTAGCACCTCTCACCTTTATCCAGGCATAAAGCATGGCCACTACAGTGCTTTTCAAGGATGCTGACACTCTCCTCACCAGTGTGTTTCTCAGTGTCTTCTGAGACCTCCCATAGAGCCCAGTATGGAGCAGGTTAGCTTATCATAGGTGATATTAATATCATTCCAGTAACCTTTTCTAAATAAATCATTGGATTTTTTTCTTCCACATTATACCAAGAAATTGCTGGCATCCTAATTTTATAAGGCATGGGCTACTATTGAGCCAAGGTTTCAAATAACCAAGCAATTAGAACCCCTTTGAGATGGATAATACCTGCTGTTGCTGCTGCTGCTAAGTTGCTTCAGTCGTGTCCGACTCTGTGCGACCCCACAGACGGCAGCCCACCAGGCTCCTCTGTCCCTGGGATTCTCCAGGCAAGAACACTGGAGTGGATTGCCATTTCCTTCTCCAATGCATGCATGCATGCTAAGTTGCTTCAGTCATGCCCGAGTCTGTGCAACACTATGGACAGCAGCCCACCAGGCTCCTCCGTCCACGGGATTCTTTAGGCAAAAATACTGGAGTTATAATACCTAGATGCTGGTATATTGAATTCAGAATCTTTGATAAGTGTACACATATCAATAAATCCAGGCTGATTTAATATTACTTTATTTTCTCCTTGTCTAGCATCCTTAATATTACATTTTTCCCCCTCCTTGGCTAGCATCTTTTGAATTCATTCTGACACAAATTCTACAGGGTTTTGTTAAAATGCCTTCATCTCTTGAGGTATTGTGCCATCTAATTGCTGTTATGAATTCATAGCCAATGAAAAGTGGTGAAACTGGAGATGAGAAGAGTTGAAATACCCTTGTTAGATAACTAACTTGGTTAGGCCTTTAAACCTGTGACCTTTAAATCTTCCTGGCAGGGGAGTTTCTTTAGGGCTTGGAATTTTGGTGTGAAAAGAGTACACCTGGGTTGTCCCATATTGTCTCACCCTTGTTTCTTCTACATAGTACAAAAGTCTGTTGTTTACATCTGTGTTTCTTTTGCTGTCTTGCATATAGGGTCATCATTACCATCTTTCTAAATTCCATATATATGCTTTAATACACTGCATTGGTGTTTCTCTTTCTGGCTTACTTTACTCTGTATAATAGGCTCCCGTTTCATCCACCTCATTAGAACTGACTCAAATATGTCATTTTTATAGTAATATTCCATGGTGTATATGTACAGCTTCCTTATCCATTCATCTGCTGATGGACCTCTAGGCTGCTTCCAGGTCCTGGCTGTTGTAAACAGAGCTGCAGTGAACGTTGTGGTGCCCGTGTCTCTCTCAGCTCTGGTTAACTTGGTGTGCACGCCTAGCGGTGGGATTGCTGGGTCGTGTGGCAGTTCTTTTTCCAGTATTGGATGGGGTGAGGAGGCGGGTGGGAGGGGGTTTCAGGATAGTGGGGCACATGCACACCCATGGCTGATTCATGTCGATGTATGGCAACAACCACAACACTATTGTAAAGTAATTACCTCCAATTAAAATAAATAAATAAAAGAAGAATAAATCTGGGAGGAAAGGATTAGTACCAGCCTAATAGTAGGCCTTCTGCCTAGGCATGTTCAGAGAGCAATGAATGATCTCAATCAAAACTCATTATAAAATAGCTAATAACCCCATCTCCTAATAAATGTACTAAAGAGATTTATTAGTCAAAATACAATGGAGAGTCCTTATCTATGAAAATTTCTATACAACAGGATTCTAACCTGTTGTATCTAGGTTGCTTGCAATAAATAAACCTAGAATTTATAGATTTGTAAGTGGGAGGCATTGCTGGCTGGAGTTGTATAGTTAACAGAGTATGTGAGAAAAGGATCCACCGTAACTTAAAGATTCCTTCTGTGGAGAAAAGTTTCCACATACTTTGTTCAAAACACACCTCACATTTTAAGTCCCAGACCAGAATGTATCCTAATATAAGAGAGGAAAGACTTTTATATGAGTTCCTACATTTTACAGATTTCTCCAAGGAAAACTGTTTTATCTGTACCTTGCGTGTGTGTGTGCATGCGTGCTAAGTTGCTTAATGCCTTAAATCATTCGTAAAGCTTCGTGTTGAGTAAGATCACAGAATCACATGAGATTCATGTGAGTCTGATTTGTCTCTTAAAGTTTGTATTGTGATACATGTGGTTTGCTGATAAGTTATTTAAGATTTTCACATCTATATGGATCTATATATAGAAGAGTTTGGACTGTAGTTTTTGTTTCCTGTAACATCCCTATTGAGTTTGAGTATCAGTGCTTTTGTTGGCTTCAAAAAACAAGTTAGATAAAATTCCCTCTTTATTCTCTGGAAGAGTTTGTTAAAGTTGAAATATTTCTTTCTTAAATGTTTGAAAAATTAATCATTGAAGGCAGCAAGACCTAGAGTTATTTTGTGAGTTATTTAAGATACAGAATCATGGAAAGGAGGAGACCAAGCACTGTCTAGGAGCTACACAGATGTAGAAAACTGTCTGTTTGAAGGGAAGAAGTTTAAATTATATCTTCTTGGCCTCATTGTTTACCTATGGCTAAGTATAGTTTTCTGGCCAGCAGGGTTTTTCATCTGTTAATATTTATAGAAAATTTACTTTGTGTCAGACATTCTAAAGACAGCAAATATATAATCATAAACGAGTATCATCCCTGATCTCATGAAGCTTATAGTCTATTTGGGGAAAACATATTGAACAAAATACTGTTTACCTGAGATTGTATTGAGTCGTATTAAAAAAAAAAAAAAAGCAGTGAATATTTGTAATGGCTGTTTTTGAAACTGAATGAGACCTGCCAAGCAATGTTGAGGGCCAAGCAGATGTGGAGATAATAAATCAGTAAAGGAATCAGACCACATAGCTGTGTAGGTTTTTTTCCTTTTTTTTTTTTTCAGCCATGCTGCATGAAGCAGCAAGGAAGGTAAATTATTAGATTCATGTACTGTTAAAGAATGGTTAGATTAAAAAGATGAGGTAATGAAGTCCCTGAAATTGTGAGTACATATGGTTCCCAAGGACAGTTCTGATTCAAGTTTAGTGCTTAGAAGTCAAGGTATTCTTTTTTTCCCCCCCCAGATCCTGATTCTGATAGTGATGCTGTTTTGCTCATTTTTTCTCTGGATTTTATTAACTTACTGGAAAGACAGGTGGTTCACCATCGGGCTGTCACTGCAGGTAAGCACCATCCTTAATTGTAGCCCTTTCTGTCCAGATGTGTTCAGGCTGACTTTTTAATTTTCTCCCAGGTCTTTGCTCCCTACATACACCTGGGCAGCATATCTGTGATGGTTTTGCTTTCGTGGCCTGTGGCCTTCTACTTGATTCATTTGGAAGGAGAAGGTATATCCTGTGGGGGGAACCTTTCCTGATTCTTCCAGCTCTGGCTTTAGCTAGTGTACTTCGCTCAGTCAAACAAGCTTGGTAGATACCCAGCACTGTAGCTTTTTGAAATTCATTTAGCTTGTTACTTAGGCATGCTCCTTCTGGTCAGGCTCACAACCCTACATGGACCTGTCATAGCATTTCTCTGATCAAACACACCCTCTTCTAAAGAGGGATTCTCCTTCTAGAAAATGAGAATTTTCTCTCTGTTATTACAAATTAACTGCTTGGGAATAAATTGGAGTAGTTTTAGGGAGGGTAGAGGAGATTTTAATATTTTTGAACAGTGATGGTACAAGTCAGTTCTTTTAGGTTGTATTCCAACACTACTACTTTAAACTTAAGAACCAGGTGAAGATATCCCCTGGATACATCTTAGTCCTTCAAAGCAGGCCCTGGTGAGTTCCTGTCACTTCTGAGGACTTCCACAGAAGCAGAAATGTCTCCTTCGGCCACTGTTCCCTCTGCATTCTTTGCCCTAATATCATGGAAACAAAGAACCAGAGCTGTATGTGAAACTATTTTGAGAATGGAGTTATCTCTCAGCCCCCTTACTGAGAAACTAGGAGGGCTTTCTGTCTGTGTCTCTTTTTTACTGATGGTTAGATAGGGAGTACTTGTTTCCCGAGTTGTGCAAGAATGCAGGAAGGAGAAAAACTCAACTGATAGTATTGCTATTGAGTGTTTATACATGTGGGTATGTGTACGTGGCCAGTGAATTTTAGGAAATTTTTTTTGGGAGCAAGAACTTAAAGGGGACAATAATGAATTCTTTTCTTTTTCATTTCCTGAATTTTAGCTAGAATGAGAAGATTCCAGATTACAAATATTGAAAGAGAAAGAAACAAGAGGTGTAACATGCGCACAAAATTGAGAGGTTAGAGCTGGCAGATCTAAATTTGGAAGTGACATAGGTGGTAATTTTTAAATGTTCAAATGGGTAAAATCCTCAGAGTAAAAATACTCTAAAACAGTAAGTGTTGGGGAATGGCCAGTGATAACAGGTATTATGGTCAGACAGTATGTGTGTGTGTCTGAAAGAGGGGTGGGAAGAGTGAAGTATGTATTATTTATTGAGGATCTGTGACACGTCAACACTGTCATATCAATTATATGAGATAGATGTTAGTAGCAAAATAGCGCCATTATTCAGAATGAAGAAAATGAAGACCCAAAGAGGTTAAACAACATGTCTGAGTTACAAAATTAGAAAATAGTAAATTCTGGCTTTGAATGTGGATGTCTTTCAACTAGTGTCTCTTCCACTATCACTCACTGTCTTCAATATGGGGCATTTTAGGCTGACCTTTAAGGGCTTGAGGGCTTTCTCAGAACCAACCAAACTCCTCCTCCTCCTTAGAAGTTATTCCTTAACATTCCCTGTCCTTCCTGCCTCCCGTACAATTCATTCCCTTGTAAATTTGCATTTTAATAATTTCGACTTAATAATAAACTTTTATTTGGATAGTTCTTCACTTTCAAATCACTGAAAGAATACGGGGATGTGACAGAAATAGACAGTAAATCAGTGAGTCTACAGATGCAGTGAACCCATGTACTAAGTATTTACTTACTGTTCTTTTGCGGATAGTTACTGCTTAGGATGGTTCTCCATTCCTCTTTTACTTTTTGTCACTTTCTCCTTCCAACTTTTTCAGCTTTACAAGTGGCTATTGGGTTGCCCTTTGTTCTTATACTTTTGTGTCTCTATGTGGTGCCATTGGGGATTTATTCTCCCTGCGTTCAAGAGAAGGATAAATTAGGACCCAAGCCATACTTCTTCGGACATAGAGGTGCGGCCATGGTAGGTCTGAGCATGATGGATGTTGGTGAGTACAGGTGTGCGTGGGTGTGGAGGGCACATCAGATCCTTGGAACTGCCTGGAAAAGTAAAGGAGTTGACTTGAGATGACACGAATAAGGAGTTAAATGTAGAGATTGGACTTGAACCCAGCTCACCTAATTCTCTGTCCATTTCTCTTTATTGTGTCTCAGTGACATTGCCTCAGATGAGCAGAGTCTCCAAATCAGATTTGAACAAAGAGCCAAGGGAGTCAAACTCTCTTCCTAAAGTCCTTTCTTCCTGGGCCCCCTCCCTAACCTGAAAGGGATGTTGGCAGAAAAGACTGAAATTAAAGGCCTGATGTCCTTTTCTTCCACAGCTGGGGCCTGAGAATACCATGATGTCCTTTGAGAAAGCTGTTGAAAATGGGGCCCATGGACTGGAGAGTGATGTACAAATAAGGTAGGAAAGAAGGGACCAGAGTGGGAGGAGAAAAGACCAGTGGATGACTCCAGCCTGGCCCAAGCTGTAGAGAGGACAAGCCCTGGGAGTTTCTCCCTTATTCACCTGGCACATCTGCACATAACACACATACATGGATCACTTCTCCTTTACAGACCATATCTGCACCCCTGCATTCTCAATCACAGGCTCATAAATCACACTCTATGTAGTCTCCACACATAGCTCAAATTTGTCCTTCCTGCAAACATGCTTGCAGCTTACCTCCCTGCCCTAGCTTAGCAGTCTGTTTAACTAATATCTCCTCGGCATCACCTGTGTTCCTACTATATCCTTCTTTTGAGCGCTAGTGAGAGGCAGAGGAGTGAGACAGAGGCGTGCCTAAGAGCTGTTTGCAGCCAGTGAAGGAGACGTGGCATGTTTACAAATAAACCCAGCATAGGACCATTCGTGGTGAGTGCCTTCCAGAGAAGAGTAAGGCAAATGCAATAGAACCTCAGTGGAGGAGGAAGAGGCCACCTCCTCTTTTGAGAAAAATGATCTGTGTGCTCAGAACAGTGTTTGGGTTGAGCCTTGAAGGAAAAATAGTATTTTCCCAAGCAGAGATGGAGAACGAGGATATTCTGGGCAGAGGCAACAGCTTAGTCAAAGGCATCCAAAGGAGAAATAGCAAGTTTGTAGATCCGTGAGCTAGACTGTATGGATGCCAAGAGTAGTCCACTTTGGGGATGTGAGGGGCCTATGTGAGAAGGAAGGTATGGCTGCAAGGCTTACTGAGACTGGGTCACAGAGATCCCTAAATGTGTACTGGGCAGCCATGGTAGGTTTTAGAGAACAGATTAGCTTATTGTTTTAGAAGGACTTTTCTGAGAATCTGTGAGGGAGAATTGTCATGGATTTGGGCAGTAGACGCTAGCAGTGTCCAAGGGACAACACAGGAAGACTTGGATCATAGCAGGGACGAGGACATATCATATGCTTTTCTGTAGAATGTATGTACTTGGGCAGCCAAAAGTAGAGACAAACCATTGGATGGTTATGTTAGAGAACGTGGCATGTACTACTCCCTTCCCAGCCTTCTGTGAGGCAAACAGAAAAGAAATGAACATCCTATTTCACAGTGAAGAACTGTGGTTTGAACCTGAATTCAAAGAAGAGAGATGTATTGCTGAGGACTAGAACGTACATGATAAAGCCAGAATTAGAACTAGATTTCCTGACCCCAGACTAGGGTTCTGACATTACCTAACAGTGATGTTACCCATCTGGTCCATGCAAGCTATTTGAATCAGACTGAAACTGGATGTTCTTTCAGAGCTTCTAGGTTCATTGGCCAAGTGCCTCATGGTCATGACCTAATGTGGTCAGGGTGCTGAGACAATGCGCTCCCGGCACATTGACTTTCTCTCTTGTCTTGTGACTTCACCTTCAGTGTAGATGATCCTCCCAGTCCTTTAGTTTCTCTGTGTGTTGATGTCTTCATTTCCAAAGTCTACTTCTACATACCTCCATCATATTGATGGTCATAGTTTACACTTCATCATTAATAAAAATTGCATGTCACTCATAGTCTAGTCAGAACAGGAATACCACAGCAGTACCTGGAACAGGAAAATGTAATATCAAGAATTACTAAGTAGTAAAAAGCTGTTAAGTAATAAAAGAGGAAATCAGGACTGTGGAAATGCACAAGTAGCGGCTATTAGAACTTCTACACATTCTACCCTGTTCTTTCCAAGATTTACAAACACATGAAAAAAAATTAAAAGTTGGAAAAAATTCAGAAAACTTCTGACAGAAGACTCTGAAACATGAAGTAATGAAGGTGGACTGGCTAGGTTCATAAGACTGAAGGAACTTCCTAGTATTAAAGCAAGTTTCCCTATTGGTAATTTTTGTTTTTTTCCTCATATATCCTGACGTGACCTCTGAAGAGATCTGTACAGAAACACCTACAGCTGCAGAGGGAAAAAAAAAAAGCCCCACAAAAATCTGCTTTTTCTAGCCAGAGAATTGGCATTAGGGTCACCCAGCAGGCTATAAATGTTTTTACCATACCAGTCCTACTCAGGGGAACACCACAGAAAAGCACTCTCCTCTGTCTCACAGCTTGAGGCTGTGACCCTGAAGGGAATGAGCAGACCCCTGTAATGACTTCTGTCTTTATGTCAGAAGTGGTACTCCTCTCTGGCCTCTGCCTACTTAAGGGTAGAGGGAGGATTACTGAGAGATATTTTCTAGAGAAAGTGATTTTTTTCTGGTAAAATATATTTAGCATAAAAGTTACCATGTTAACTATTAAAAATTTTTTTTTAATTGGAGTGTAGTTGGGCTTCCCAGGTGGTGCTAGTGGTAAAGAACCCACCTTCCAATGCAGTAGACTTAAGAGATTTGGGTTCAGTCCCTGAGTTGGGAAGATGCCCTGGAGAAGGGCATGGCAACCCACTCCAGTATTCTTGCCTAGAGAATCGCATGGACAGAGGAGGTTGGCAGGCTACGGTCTGCAGGGTTGCAGTCTTACATGTCTGAGACGACGGCACTCATAGTTGCTTTGCAGTGCTGTGTTATTTTCAGGTGAATCTGGTGTACATATACATATACCTACTCTTTTTATTGTTTAATCACTAAGTCATGTCTGACTCTTTTGTTACCCCATGGACTGTAGCCCACCAGGCTCCTCTGTCCATGAGATTTCCCAGGCAAGAATTCTGGAGTTGATTGCCATTTCCTTCTCTAGGGTATCTTCCTGACCCAGGGATCAAAGCCACATCTCTAGCTTTGCAGGCAGATTCTTTACCACTGAGCCACAGAGAAGCCCAGTCTACTTTTTAGTGTCCAGTTTAGTGGCATTCAGTATATTCACCTTGTTTTGCTACTGTCACCACCATCCATCTCTACAACTTTTTCATCTCTCAAGCTGAAACTCTGTACCTATTCAATAATAGCTCCTTCATCTCCCCTCCACCCAAACCCTAACAACCACTATCCTATTTTTCTCTATAAATTTAACTATTTTAGTTATCTCATATAATTGTTCAATATTATTTTATGTCTGACTCCTTTCACTGTGAAAGTGAGTGAAGTGAAAGTCGCTCAGTCATCTCCGACTTTTTGCGACCCATGGACTATACACTCCATGGAATTCTCCATGCCAGAATACTGGAGTGGGTAGCCTTTCTGTCCTCTAGGGGATCTTCCCAATCCAGGGATCAAACCCAGGTCTCCAGCATTGCAGGTGGATTCTTTACCAATTAAGCCAGAAGGGGAGCCCAAAGGGATGGAAGTGAAAGTCACTCAGTCGTCTCCGACTCTTTGTGACCCCGTGGACTGTACAGTCCATGGAATTCTCCAGGCCAGAATACTGGAGTGGGTAGCCTTTCCCTTCTCCAGGGGATCTTCCCAACCCAGGGATCGAACCCAGGTCTCCCACATTGCAGGCGGATTCTATGCCAGCTGAGCCACCAGGGAAGCTTCCAACCATGCATAAATATTCCCTTTTCTCCACAGCCTCTCCAGCGTTTGTTAGTGCTTGTCCTTTTGATAATAGCTGTTCTGACAAGTGTGAGGGGAAGGCTCTTTGTAGTTTTCATTTGCATTTTCCTAATGATTACTGTTCAGCACCTTTTAACCATTTTAATATGTTAACCATTTGTGTATAACTTACTTGGAAAATGTCTTTTCAGGTACTTTGCCTATTTTTTTAAATTGGATTTTTTTTTTTTTTTGCTATTCAGTTGATTTTATATTTTGGAAAATTATTGAAATTAAAATGTAAGATTATTAAAATTTCTTGTTTCATATATGATTTGCAAATATATTCCCCTATTCTGTAGATTGTCTTTTCATTTTGATGATTTATTTCTGTTGCTCTGCAGAAGCCTTTAGTTCATTGTAGTCCCATTTATTTTTTATCTTGTTCATGGCTTCGTTGTCACATTCCAAAAAAGTTATTGCTGAGACCCATGTCCAGGAACATTTTTCCTGTTTCCTTCTAGGAGTTTTATAGTTTGCTGTCTTACATTTAAAATTTTAATCCATTTTGAATTAGTTTTTGTGAATGATATAAGATAGGGATCTTGTTTTGTAATTTGCATGTGAGTGTCCAAATTTCCTAGTACCATCTATTGAAGAGACTTTTTTTTCTCCATGAATATTGTTTGCTGTCTTGTCAAAGATTAGTTGGCTATATGTGCATGACTTTTTTTTCTAGACTCTTGATTCTATTTCATTCATTTCTGTAAAAACAGAATTAAAAAAATGCCAGTACAATACTGTTTGGATTACTATAGCTTTAGAATATAGTTTGAAATCAGGAAATGTGATGCCTCCTGCTCTGTTCCTTGTTTTTAACATTGCTTTGTCTATTTAGGGATTTTTGTAGTTCCATATAAACTTTAGGATTGTTTTTTCTACTTCTTTAAGAGAAAAACAACTTAAAGGCAGTCACAGGGTAAAAGACACCAACAGAGCCNTGAAGTGATGGGACCAGATGCCATGATCTTAGTTTTCTGAATGCTGAGCTTTAAACCAACTTTTTCACTTTCCTCTTTTACTTTCATCAAGAGGCTTTTTAGTTCCTCTTCATTTTCTGCCATAAGGGTGGTGTCATCTGCATATCTGAGGTTATTGATATTTCTCCCGGCAATCTTGATTCCAGCTTGTGCTTCCTCCAGCCCAGCATTTCTCATGATATACTCTGCATATAAGTTAAATAAGCAGGGTGACAATATACAGCCTTGATGTACTCCTTTTCCTATTTGGAACCAGTCTATTGTTCCATGTCCAGTTCTGTTGCTTCCTGACCTGCATATAGGTTTAAATAACTGTTAAAAGCAATTTCAACGGGAACCAGAATCTCCAAATATTCTTAATGGCCAGGATATGATCAAGAATTTTCACCATACCAAAACCTACAAAAATCTCAACTTGAATGAGGAAGGGTAATTAATAGATGTCAACAGAAAAGAAAGAGGTGTTCGAATTATTATCTTAAAAAAATT